CTGAGCGGTCAGAAGGAAAAATGGAAAAAAAAAACAATTTAAAATAAAAGTATTTAAATTGTTCTAATGTGAATCTACAAAAACAATACTATGTTTTGCTTAATTTTGTCTGTTTTATTTCAGCTTTTAGGCGAGCACATTACATTACAAATATTTAATATTAAAAAACACATTTCTAAATACAAATATTTAAATGGTGAAAGTGACAAAAACAGTATAGAAATAGTTAATTTAATTTGTGGATAATTTAATTTTTTATCCAAATGATTCTCAGCTACAACAGCTAAAATAAGGGCCTTCTTTCTGTTTGTTTGGTCTTTCTTTAATTCGGGCCACAGTCTCAGGGGTCCGTGGGTTCAAGGAGAACATTAGTCTGAGTGTTTCTAACCTGGTGACAGAACCGACGGTTCTGAAGTGACACAAACATCTTTATTTCCCATCACTGCCGAGTAAATCCAAACAGAGGAGAAAGAAATGTACTCTTCTGTTTGAACACACCTGCACTCTCTGTAGAGTGAATGTGATTGGCTCCTGGTCAGGTCACATGACCGCTCTCTTTCTTTTGAAACAGCCTTTAGAGTCAACATTGAACACACACTGTTTATCTGTCTGAGTGCTTGAATGAAGGCCGTGACGTGACGTTTGTTCGCCTGCTGTCTCCAGCTCTGATTGGCTCAGACCGTCCACTGACCATCTGGCCCAGAGTCCTGTTTCTTTTCATCTCTAAGTTGCACAAAAACCTCTTTGACGTGAGGTTCAAACACTGGACCACAGCCCGCGGCCCTGCACTTAGATATTAACACAAACACACACAGAAACCTAGCAACGTACGGAGAAACAGAGCGAGTCCATAACATTTAGTTTTAACAAACGGCCGTCGGCAGCATTCCTCTACACGGCAGCCAGACGGTGGCTCAGTGTAGGAATGACTTCACTCCACAGCCAGGGCAAACCAGACTGGGAATAAAGACTGGACCCAGTCAGTAGTCTTTTATATTTCTGGTCTGTAGACTTGATGTGAGCCAAAACAAAGTCAAAACATTGAGATGTCAAGATCTGGACTGCAGGCCGGCCAGTCCAGCACAGACACACACACCATTAACATCAGCTTATGTTTTTCACTTCATGGACATGAAGAAAATAATGGGAAACATATTCAATATACTGTAAAAATTTCAAAAAAAATATTACATTTTCTAAGAAAATATAAATATATATTAACTTATTCTACAAAATGATAAAATGTTAAAAAAGGATGCAAAACATTTTGTAAAAATTAAATATTTATATGTGAATAAATATAATACTATGAAAAAATTTAGGAAAATTCATAGATAAAAATAGATATGATATATATGATATTTATGTATAAAACTGTTTTTAAAATATATAAAAACATTTAAGAAAGAATGAAAATTGTAAAAAGAAAAATGTGAATAAAACAGTGTTTTGGTTCCAGCTCCTCCACACTTTTTAAAATCTTTTCTGTTTTTCTTCTCCTCCCCCCTCGTCCTCCTCTGTCCTCTTTATTTTGTGACCTCATTCAGCCAATGGGACGGGCTCCAGCAGCCAGATGTCCACCCCCATTTCCAAGCACTCCCCCACCTCCACCCCCACCAGTCCAGGTCCCACCAACAAGCAAAAGGTTTGTTGTTCACAAACACCAAACTTCTCTTGTCTGTCTGTCGTGTCATTTATTTTTTGACTTTTTTTTTCTCTCCAGGATCTGTACCTGCCCTTATCCATGGATGATGAAGATTCCCAGGGTGAATCCATGTAGGTTCTCCTCCTGCTGCAGCACTGCCTCCTCTCTTTGGCCTAATTTTGAAGTTTTATACCAACACTCACAGTGCCACCTACCTGTTGTTCCGGGGATTGAAACCACTCCACATTTGTTTTGGGTTTTTTTTTTCTTTGTTTGTTTTATTTTTTCAGGGCCAGGACACAATTTGCTGCTTGACGAAGCCACAAACCATTTTTTAAAACCAGTTTCAACCACAATCTGCTCACACAAGTTTAAAATCCGTCTCTAGTTCTATAAAAATACTACACTAGTTCTCCAGTAGGGGGAGCACAAACTCACAGAGCTCATGCACATTTCACGGGTGTAACACACGTTCCACTTTTGTTTCAGACACTTTGTAAAAAAAA